GAGACCTGAGAGAGAGAGACCAGAGAGAGACCAGAGACCTGAGCGAGAGAGTTGAGAGAGACAAGAGAGAGACTAAAGAGATAGACTAGAGAGAGACCATCAAGGGACTAGAAAGAGAGACCAAAGAGAGACCAGTGAGAAAGACTAGAGCGACCAGAGAGAGACCAGACAAAGACCAAAGAGAGAGACCAGAGCCAGTATAGAGTAGAGAAGAGTAGAGTAGAATAGCAGCAGTAAAGTCACTAGTGGATTGTTGGTCTGTGGTCTCTGTCTCTTTAAGAGGGAACCCTATGATGTCATGGCTCTGGACCATGTCGGGTCTCGGTCTCTCTGCTGATGGGATCGATGGTGACTTTACTCTGGTATTAGGAGCTCGCAGCGTTTGATTGGTTTGTTCCACAGCGATAACAATAGCATTACGTGGATAAAGCAGCTCAATGTGTTTGTGAACCAGGAACAAGGACAATGTGTGCTTGTTTTTGGACTACGATGGTTTTTAATACAGGAATGTCGGGAAAAATAGTCCGACCAGTTACTGTAAAAACTGACACCATGTGAGGAGAGAATGGCTGTGGTTTTTATCTTAGTGTAATCTGACTGTGAGAGAGAGACCAGAGAGAGAGAGACCAGAGAGAGAGACCAGAGAGAGACCAGAGAGAGACCAGAGAGAGACCAGAGAGAGACCAGAGAGAGACCAGAGAGAGAGAGACCAGAGAGAGAGAGACCAGAGAGAGAGACCAGAGAGAGAGAGAGACTAGAGAGACCAGAGAGAGACCAGAGAGTGAGAGACCAGAGAGAGAGACCAGAGAGAGACCAGAGAGAGAGAGACCAGAGAAAGACCAGAGAGAGAGACCAGAGAGAGAGACCAGAGAGAGACCAGAGAGAGAGACCAGAGAGAGAGACCAGAGAGAGACCAGAGAGAGACCAGAGAGACAGATTAGAGAGAGACCAAGGAGACTAGAGAGAGACCAGACTATCTGCAGAGACTATGTGCAGAGACTATGTGCAGAGACTATGTGCAGAGACCATGTGCAGAGACCATGTACAGAGACTATGTACAGAGACTATGAGCAGAGACTATGTGCAGAGACTATGTACAGAGACTATGAGCAGAGACCATGTGCAGAGACCATGTGCAGAGACCATGTACATGTCCAGTCAGAGACAGAGAAGGCAGACAGAGACTGTAGACATTTGGATGCTTCTGAGTGCATCATGGGAGCCCTGCCCACTGCTCCCATCCTCCTCTCTCCCATCTCCTCCCTCAGCTCCTCCTGCTCCCCCCGCTCTCTCCTCTGTGCCCTGGCCCCTCTCTCTCCTCTCGGTGTCCTCGGTGTCCTCGTTACTGACCTCTCTTGTTCAGTGGCTGTGATCCCAGTGCGAGGGGTTTGTCCCTGCTCCGTGAGTCTCTGCACAGTTCCTGGTGCTCGCAGCCCTCCCTCTCCGCTGTCAGCCTTTATATAGCTCAGCTGAGCCTACTCAGGCTGCAGTGCATTCTGGGAAAAGGGAGCAGGGAAGGGTGAGGGCTGAGGGAGAGAGAGGGAAGTGTAGAGGACGTGAATAACACCAGTTAAATACTGCATAATAACATACTGTAGATGCACTTATTTAATATCTATTAAACAAATGTATTTCTATAAAGAACTGTTCAGTGGGACCCAAAATACTTTAAAGATAAACATAATTATTCATTTATTAAAGTATAATTCTATAGCAATTCCATTCAATTTATTCTTGTATATAAATGTATTATTTTACACAACAGGAGTTATCGCAGAGGACTTAACTAAACTGTTGATATCAAGAACACAGACAAAGAATCAAACACCAAGACTATAGAACACATGGTATTGGTCCATATGGTGAGACCAATGTCCATGAACGTTGATGGTCCATACATGTTGTAGAATGTTAAAGTGTCCTGGATCAGAAGAAAAACTCTAAAACCCAGTGGGAGAAAAGTGAGAAACCTCGGATCCACAGAGAGAGAGATCCACTCCAGGACTCAGACTGTAGAACGAGGACTGAGGCTGTAGGTCCAGGACTGAGGCTGTAGACCCAGGGCTGAGGCTGTAGACCCAGGACTGAGGCTGTAGGTCCAGGACCTAAGCTGCAGCATTGTTCATACAAACTCAAAGTGCTGAACAAAACAAGACAGAAACAACCACACACTGCATTAAAAAAGAAGACAAAATCCTTCAGTTGTTGCAACGAAACTGAACTGTTTTTAACCTGGATTTGAAGCTTGTCAGAGAAGAAGCCTGTCTCACATTTTCAGGAAGACTGTTCACGACTGTTCAGGGCGACAGTAGCTCAGTTGGTAGAGCATTGGCCTTAAGGCCAGAAGGTCATGGGTTCAATTCCTGGGCACCTTCTCCATCGACTCCCACTGATGACTGCTGTCGTTGTGTCCTTGGGCAAGACACTTAACCCCACTTTGCCCAAAGCCCCCACTGAAAGATCAAGGCTATGCTCACACTCAGAGAGCAGCCGTCCTCCTGTGGACTCACCACCTGCAGAGGGTCAGTGAGGGGCTGGTGCTATGAGACTTGGGCATCTCTGATTGCCACCCCCCTGACCCAGAAATGGATTAAAGGGAAGAAAATGGATGGATGGATGGATGTTCACGACATTAGCTGCGTGAATCTGACATGCTGCCACCTCATGACCTCAGAGTCCCAGCAGGAGTCCAGTCCCTTTGCTCCTCAGAGTCCCAGCAGGAGACCAGTCCCTGTGCTCCTCAGAGTCCCAGCAGGAGACCAGTCCCTGTGCTCCTCAGAGTCCCAGCAGGAGGCCAGTCCCTGTGCTCCTCAGAGTCCCAGCAGGAGACCAGTCCCTGTGCTCCTCAGAGTCCCAGCAGGAGACCAGTCCCTGTGCTCCTCAGAGTTGGTTCATATGGCACTAACATGTCATTGTTCCCATGACAACAGTGTGACTTCAGTTGTAAACAATAGAAACTGTCACAGATATAAAGCAGGTTGTACATAATAATATCGATCTCTAAAACTACACTCTCAGATACTGAAGGGGAAGTGTGTTGCTCAAGGACAGAAGTATTCACCGTAAGATAAAACCCTCGACCTGGATCTGCAGGTCTGTGTTCGGAGTCCTCTGTAATCTTCTCAGCCGCGGGAGAAATGATAAACAATGTATTAAAGATTTTAAAAGAAGTCCCCAGAGCCACCACTAGAGGTCTCCAAACCCTCTCAGACTCATGCAGTTTTTCACACACTGCCTCAGACACGAGCTCAAGTCTGTGATTATTATACACGACCTAAGAGAAACTCAGGGGAAAGATGGAAGGATGACGTTTTTTTGTCACTGTTGGATTTATTAGTCCAACAGTGTGGACATTCTGAATGATCTGTCTGTCTGTATCTATTCTGTATATCTGTCTATGCACCCATCTATCTATCTATCTATGTATTTATCTATCTATCTAGTGTAAAGTTATATACAGAATGTCCACTGACTGAAACTGAAATTGCAGTATTTGCTTTTTACAGAAGAGATGAACATGTACGGGCTCAGCAGTTCTCATTGTACAGTCTGACAGCAGCCTGAATTTAGTGTGGTGCCACAGATCAATATCAAACTACTGTTCAAAACACATTTTATATTTTCTTATTTGTTTTACTATAGATCATTCATTTGTCTGCGCAGGTTACACACACACACACACACACACACAGACACACAACCATATGTAAATGTACACAATGTTGTCTGTACTTTGTTATATCTGTCTATAGTGTTTTTTCCCCAATTTCACCAACACAAAATAATAAACAATTAAGTTAAAGATAATTTAACGCAAATCATGTTACTCTCCTGGCGCTGTGTGTCTGTGTGTCAGTGTTTGTCGGTCTGACTGTGTGTGTCTGAGTGTGTCGGTCTGTCTGACTGTGTGTATGTGTCTGTCTGTGTGTGTCTATGTCCGTGTGTGTGTCTCTGTCTGTGTGTGTGTGTGAACGTTAAAAGATCAGCTTCCACAGACACCATGTTGTAGCAATGAGGGACATTTTATTAAAAGCATGAGCGGACATGTGTGTCCAAAACGTAACCATAAATACAAAATATCGTCTGTACATTTATTTACATTTATGGCAGTGAAAGGCAGGACGTCCGGTGGAATAAAAGCAACACAAACGACAGAGTTGGCCACAAGTTTTAGTTTTCCTTTTCTTCAAAACAGCAAAAGCAGCGACAGTGACACAGCTTACGTTTGACCACCAGAGGGCAGCACTGAGCTAAACCCAACACTTTACATGCACCAGACCAAGAGACTCCGACCTTCTTCACTGTGAGAGCTGCTTTCTCGGCTCTAAAATGGCACAGAACGACTCTTTAAAAGCTTTTTGGGCCAAATTAGTTCCAATTTAAACAGTTTTAAGATTGTGTCTGAGAAATAATGTGAGAGCAGGACTTAGACAAGATTCTCTCACTTTAAAGAGTTATTATTCATTCACTACTATGTTTTCAGCGTTTTGGGAAAATTAACCCTACTTTTTGGCATATTCCTCACATGGATGTCATTCCTAAAGAAGGTTGGAGACCCCAGGACTGGACTGTGCTGCGCTAAACTAAACCAGGTGAAATAAAAGATGAATAAAATGAGATGTTGAAGCCATAGATACGACACTGTTAGTCTGAGGTTAAAGCTCCTACGAACTGAAGAAACACTGTTAAGTCTACACACTTTTACTAAGCACTTTAGGCAATAAATATCCCAATATCTGCACCTGACGATGCGAGCCAACCCAGGAACTATGAAGGCCAAGGTCAGTTTGTTAATGAGGTTGAGAATCTTTTGGTCAAAACACGATTCAAACGTTTACAAAGAGAAACATTGATAATATTATGACACGTCTGGGTCTGGGCCTGGTCCTGGTCCACGGGCGGCTCATGAAATGCTTTGTTGGTGTCGGATTCAGCCTCGGCTGGGGCCTTCTCCTGGGGCCTTCTCCTGGGGCCTCCTCCAGGGGCCACTTCCAGGGGCCTCAGCTGGAGCCTCCTCCGGGGGCCTCGGTCTCAGAGTCTGAGTCCTGCTCCTCTGAGGGGAGGTGCACTCGCTGCTCGTCCATGCGTTTGGCCTGGACCCTCTGGATCAGGCTAAAGAAGTCCTCATCAGGCACCGTGGGCGCGTGGGGGCCCCCTTCAGGCCGGGAGCAGCGCTGGTCATCGATCCTGGAGGACTGAAAGAGACACGTTAGAAACTAGATCAAAGGAGGAGTGCATGGCACTTTATGAAACATGTTACGTACTTGGCACTTTATGAACGTGTTACGTACTTGGCACTTTATTAACATGTTGAAGAAGTCGTCGCTGGGTTCTTGATGGTCTCCCTCTCCCACCAGGTGGCCCAGGTTGTTCTGAGTGATCCTCAGGCCTGGGAGACTCCCCACGTTCACCCTCTGGTCGTCCAGACGCCGACTCTGAGAACTTTCGATCAGGTCAAACAGCTCCTCGGTCTGAGGCGACGTCGTCGTCGCAGGATCTGAGGAACATCAGAACATCTCGTTAACTCACTGACTGCCTTTGACCTATGTGTTTGAGATTCTGTCAAACTTCCCTCTGTTCCACTGGGGATTACAGGAGAACAAAACTAGCTACAAACAAACTGATTTTTGCTGCTGAAAGTGAACAGTCCAGTGTTTCAGAATCTGGTGTCATATTTCACACAGTCCTAGCCAACAATATTCAGTGGGTCAGTGAAATATTAAAAAAACGGCTACGACCACTCAGTCCACTCAGTCTGGACCGGTCTCAGTCTGGACCGGTCTCAGCCTGGACCGGTCTCAGCCTGGACCGGTCTCAGCCTGGACCGGTCTCAGCCTGGACCGGTCTCAGCCTGGACCGGTCTCAGCCTGGACCGGTCTCAGCCTGGACCGGTCTCAGCCTGGACCGGTCTCAGCCTGGACCAGTCTCAGCCTGGACCAGTCTCAGCCTGGACCAGTCTCAGTCTGGACCGGTCTCAGCCTGGACCAGTCTCAGCCTGGACCAGTCTCAGTCTGGACCAGTGTTTTCCTACCAGGACCTTACAGAGAATATGATTGTATATATTATAGCCCAGGAGGTAGAGTGATCACCTGAGTCTGTCTGTTACCTAAACCCACAGAGCACTCACCCAACATGTCGCTGAGAGGCACAGAGCCAGAGCCGGGTTCTTGGTTCTCAGGATTGTCTAAGTCGCAGCGCTGGTCGTCCATGCGACTGCTCTGGAACTTACTGAGGAGGTCAAAGAAGCAGTCCTCATCAGAGGGGTCGCGGCCCAACGTCTGAGACACACACAGAGAGACACACACACCCAGACAAACACACAAAGACACAGACACACAAACAGAGAGAGAAGGTTCAGATGCATCAAAGCTCAGTACGACAAAACATAATAATGCACTGATTTCACACAGCACTTTTCAAGAAGCTCAAAGTCTCTTCACATTATTATTCTTTCTCTCCAAACACGGTGTTGATAAACTACTACTGTAGCCACAGCTGCCCTGGGGCACACTGACAGAAGCGAGGCAAGCAGTCTGTGCCATCGGCCCCTCCCACCACCACCAACCATTCACACACACACCAGACTCATTCCACAGTTTGGCACTTTGGTAACAGTACTATCCTCTCATCCATCTGTGAGCATTATGTCATCTGTAGTCTGTTCATTACATTTCATGGCGTGATAATGGGACCTCTGAACCTGGCCTGTCCTGGGTCTACAGCCTCAGTCCTGGGTCTACAGCCTCAGTCCTGGATCTGCCTCAGTCCTGGGTCTACAGCCTCAGTCCTGGATCTACAGCCTCAGTCCTGGGTCTACAGTCTCAGTCCTGGGTCTACAGTCTCAGTCCTGGGTCTACAGCCTCAGTCCTGGGTCTACAGCCTCAGTCCTGGATCTACAGCCTCAGTCCTGGGTCTACAGCCTCAGTCCTGGATCTACAGCCTCAGTCCTGGATCTACAGCCTCAGTCCTGGGTCTGCCTCAGTCCTGGATCTACAGTCTCAGTCCTGGGTCTACAGTCTCAGTCCTGGGTCTACAGCCTCAGTCCTGGGTCTACAGCCTCAGTCCTGGGTCTACAGCCTCAGTCCTGGATCTACAGTCTCAGTCCTGGATCTACAGTCTCAGTCCTGGATCTACAGCCTCCGTCCTGGATCTACAGCCTCAGTCCTGGATCTACAGCCTCAGTCCTGGATCTACAGTCTCAGTCCTGGATCTACAGTCTCAGTCCTGGGTCTACAGCCTCAGTCCTGGGTCTACAGCCTCAGTCCTGGATCTACAGACTCAGTCCTGGATCTACAGCCTCAGTCCTGGATCTACAGCCTCAGTCCTGGATCTACAGCCTCAGTCCTGGGTCTACAGCCTCAGTCCTGGATCTACAGTCTCAGTCCTGGGTCTACAGCCTCAGTCCTGGATCTACAGCCTCAGTCCTGGATCTACAGCCTCAGTCCTGTGTCTACAGCCTCAGTCCTGGATCTACAGCCTCAGTCCTGGATCTACAGCCTCAGTCCTGGGTCTACAGCCTCAGTCCTGGATCTACAGCCTCAGTCCTGGGTCTACAGCCTCAGTCCTGGGTCTACAGCCTCAGTCCTGGGTCTACAGCCTCAGTCCTGGATCTACAGCCTCAGTCCTGGATCTACAGCCTCAGTCCTGGATCTACAGCCTCAGTCCTGGATCTACAGCCTCAGTCCTGGATCTACAGCCTCAGTCCTGGAGCTACAGCCTCAGTCCTGGGTCTACAGCCTCAGTCCTGGAGCTACAGCCTCAGTCCTGGATCTACAGCCTCAGTCCTGGAGCTACAGCCTCAGTCCTGGGTCTACAGCCTCAGTCCTGGAGCTACAGCCTCAGTCCTGGAGCTACAGCCTCAGTCCTGGGTCTACAGCCTCAGTCCTGGAGCTACAGCCTCAGTCCTGGGTCTACAGCCTCAGTCCTGGAGCTACAGCCTCAGTCCTGGAGCTACAGCCTCAGTCCTGGAGCTACAGCCTCAGTCCTGGAGCTACAGCCTCAGTAGAGTTTCGCTTTTCAGCCCGAGCCCGAGCAGGCCCGAGCCCGACCCGAGTACGGGCCGGGCTTGGGCCTCACTTCAGCGCTCAGCAGTCGGGCCGTTCCGGGCTCGGGCTCCTTTTTATTTTTCCTTTTTTTATTTTTTTTAATCAATATTTTTTATTATTTATGATTTTCATACATAATGATATGCATATATGTATTTATTAATAATAATGTCCGTTGATTGACAACAAGTTATTAAAAAAGTTGATATTTTATCACCGTAACCGGCGTGTCCTACAGCCGCAGCAAGCCGTGAACGCATCATCCCTGTTTTTCCTGTTGAATGCTACGGTCAACAGCGAACACACGGAACATAACAGAAATGGATCAGGTGGACGTACAAAACACATTCAGAAGTGGCTAAACTTGCAATTGGAAGGTGAGTGCGTACAAGAAGGGAAATCAGATGTGTCGGGCTTCTGTTGGGCTCGGGCCTATTATACAACCTTAATTGGTCGGGCTTATACGGGCTCGGGCTTAGTATTAGCGGGCTCGGGCCGGGTCGGGCTTGATTTTTCAGGCCCGAACGAAACTCTAAGCCTCAGTCCTGGAGCTACAGCCTCAGTCCTGGAGCTACAGCCTCAGTCCTGGATCTACAGCCTCAGTCCTGGATCTACAGCCTCAGTCCTGCACCAGGAAGGACCAGAGGAGAATGTTGCCTCCGCTAATATAACACTTGCTACACACACTCGCACCTGGTATGTTTTTTGTCGTGATATTCATGGTCCCGTTCACCTGGTATGTTTTTTGTCGTGATATTCATGGTCCCGTTCACCTGGTATGTTTTTTGTCGTGATATTCATGGTCCCGTTCACCTGGTATGTTTTTTGTCGTGATATTCATGGTCCCGTTCACCTGGTATGTTTTTTGTTGTGATATTCATGGTCCGGTTCACCTGGTGTGTTTCCGTTCTCTCTGCACAGAACCGAGCATCATCATAATCTGATTAGATGGAGATGAAGGCTCTTGGCGAGTCCGCATTGGCCTAGTTACTAAAGGTGGAATGACATTTCATAAAGGTGGTGGTGTAAAAATAAACTTCCCATTAACATCTGAGGGGAGGGCACTGACCCGCATCAGAGACACATGGAAGAGGAAGGAAGCAGAAGGACATTGGTTCACGTTCAATACGTACGTACAATACATCAGAGAAACAATATTATTACACATTCTGACTGAGCCTTAAAACAGGATTTACCAATGGGAGAAAGCAAAAAGATACAGAAATGTCTTTCCCCCTCTCTCACTCTCTCTCTCTGGACTCTCACTCTCTGGACTCTCTCACTCTCTCTCTGGACTCTCTCTCACTCTCTCTGGACTCTCTCTCACTCTCTCTGGACTCTCTCTCACTCTCTCTGGACTCTCTCTCACTCTCTCTGGACTCTCTCTCACTCTCTGGACTCTCTAAGTATGTAAGTAAGTAAGCTTTATTTATATACCGCCTTTCACAGACCAGAGTCACAAAGCGGCAACAGGAGGCGCATGCCAGACCTATTGTACATATTTTTAGTGGTAGGGGAAACCGGAGTACCCGGAGGAAACCTACGCAGACACGGGGAGAACATGCAAACTCCACTCAGAAAGGCCCTGGTCCGGCCGGGATTCGAACCCAGGGCCTTCTTGCTGAGAGGCGAGAGTGCTATCCACTCAGCCACCGTGCCGCCACTCTCTCACTCTCTGGACTCTCTCTCACTCTCTGGACTCTCTCACTCTCTGGACTCTCTCTCTCACTCTCTGGACTCTCTCTCTCTCACTCTCTGGACTCTCTCTCACTCTCTGGACTCTCTCTCACTCTCTGGACTCTCTCTCACTCTCTGGACTCTCTCTCACTCTCTGGACTCTCTCTCACTCTCTGGACTCTCTCTCACTCTCTCTCTGGACTCTCTCTCACTCTCTCTCTGGACTCTCTCACTCTCTCTCTGGACTCTCTCACTCTCTCTCTGGACTCTCTCACTCTCTCTCTGGACTCTCTCACTCTCTCTCTGGACTCTCTCACTCTCTCTCTGGACTCTCTCACTCTCTCTCTGGACTCTCTCACTCTCTCTCTGGACTCTCTCACTCTCTCTCTGGACTCTCTCACTCTCTCTCTGGACTCTCTCACTCTCTCTCTGGACTCTCTCACTCTCTCTCTGGACTCTCTCACTCTCTCTCTGGACTCTCTCACTCTCTCTCTGGACTCTCTCACTCTCTCTCTGGACTCTCTCACTCTCTGGACTCACTCTCTGGACTCTCTCACTCTCTCTCTGGACTCTCTCACTCTCTCTCTGGACTCTCTCACTCTCTCTCTGGACTCTCTCACTCTCTCTCTGGACTCTCTCACTCTCTGGACTCACTCTCTGGACTCTCTCACTCTCTCTCTGGACTCTCTCTCTCTGCTCTCTCTCTCTGCTCTCTCTGCTCTCTCTCTCTGCTCTCTCCCTCCAAGACACATGTGGAATTTATTACAGCCGACCTCCACAACGCAAATATTATGTCAATTTTACCTGAAGCTCCAGGATTTATGGTCCTCGAGATTCAGTCCAAAGAATCTCTCACAGTCGCTTTTAAGAATAAAATATGAATAAAACAGTTTTCTAACAAAGCCTGCACTTCTCAACATCCACATGAAACAATGTTGAAGCAAAATTTAGCGTTTTTTTTATTTACTTATTTACTTGGTTCTTTTGTGCGTCTGTATCTAACACTGACAACATGTAAAATCACATATTTAAAGCTGGGGTCTTCAAATCTCCACCTTTTCATTGCTAATAACCAATGTTTGTAAGTAAACAGACCAACAACACTATCATTCCTTTTTTAATGCTATTTTTTGAGCCCTGTGAGTCACTTTTTGACACTTTGGGGTTGAGAGAGGATGAGTTTCGTCTTTTTTTTCACTTTTCTGTCTGAAAAAAAGCCGATCTAAAAAGATGCATGTGAAAACTATTGATAAAATACAGAAAAAATCAATTCAATGCATGTTTTGTATATAGCCGTCAATCGCAACAGTAGCTTTCTGGGAGGACTTTATGCAACTGTCGATTCACCAACATTGAGAGACCAAAGAGACATTGGTCCATAAACGTCTTTGTCAGAGTTTTAAGTCAAAAATATGAACAGACCATGTGATAAAAAAGGTTAAACAGTTAAGAAGGTAAGGTTAAAATCACTTTAAATCCACCTGTTTCCAGCTTTTCTTTCATTTTTGCTCTTCTTTGTTTATTTTATATGTTTTGTAAATGTGTCAAAAAAACAC